GCCCATCACACATCTGAGCTCTCAGCAGAATGTGACAATGAGCTGAGACTCTGATAGGACTTCATTTTGCAACCATCTCTTATATAAAGACACTTTTCATCCACCATTCTGCTGTCGAAAGCATCTTCTTCCACTGAAGGCTCTTGAAAGTGTGAAGTGCATCTGTATTTATATTATATTTTATTGTTATGTATTTTTTATTTTATATAAGATAATAAAAGCAAAATAATAATACTAATTTATTATTATTTTGTTATTAATTAATTAATTAATAATATAATGTATATTATATTATATTACTTTTAAAATTATATATATATATATAACCTATTATATAAAATATTTATTATTATTAATATTATTACTATTATTATTACCTGTATATAATTCTCATTTAATCGTAATGCAAAAAGTTCTTTCTTTATGCAAAATAATAATAATATATTAACAAAAAACAGATATATTTTTTACATATTTTGCTTTAAAAAATAAAGCTATTCCTAGAATTTTGAGTTTTTGCATTGTGACAGTAATTTTAAAAAATGCAATGCAAAAAAAAAGGATAATGTACATTTATTTAAATAAAAATCATCGTATTACAGCATTAAGAATGTTAATGATAATCATCATTGAAAATAACAAAAATAAAATAAAAAGCTCAGTATAGCAGAGAATACTGCTTATGTTTTCAAGATTTTGATACCTTATTTTATTTACTTTAAATTTGGCTGGGTGGTTAATAACACATTTTTTTGTTGTGTGACAAACTCAGAACGCATATGTGACCCTGGAGCACAAAACAGTCATAAGGGTCAATTTTTTGAAATTGAGATTTATGCATCATCTGAAAGCTGAATAAATAAGCTTTCCATTGATGTATGGTTTGTTATGATAGGACAATATTTGGCCGAGATACAACTATTTGAAAATCTGGAATCTGAGGGTGCAAAAAAAATCGAAATATTGAGAAAATCGCCTTTAAAGTTGTCCAAATGAAGTTCTTAGCAATGCATATTACTAATCAAAAATTAAGTTTTGACATATTTACAGTAGGAAATTTACAAAATATCTTCATGAAACATGATCTTTACTTAATATCCTAATGATTTTTGGCATAAAAGAAAAATCAATAATTTTGACCCATTCAATGTATTGTTGGCTATTGCTACAAATATACCCCAGCGACTTAAGACTGCTTTTGTGCTCCAGAGTCACATATTTATTATTGCTTCACACAGACTTGAAATCATTCTCCTTCTCTTGTCCACAAGACGGCGCTCTCACTCAGTGTGTGTTGTGATTTACTCATCTGGCACAATTAATGAGTCTTTAAGGAGTAATTCTGTGCCACTTTAGCAGAGTTCACCCGAGAGGTCAAAGGTCACCACAACCCGCCAATCATAATTAAACACATAAATCAATGTATCTATTGCTAAAGTGCCACAGATAGTTGAAGTCTGGCCCTGGGAAACCGCTGTGTTCAGTCACTAAACTCAGTCGTATCATCGAGTTCACATGTAAACCCCTCGGGACGGCTGACGTGAGCTCAGACAGACGTGAGCAGCAGTGAGGTTTGTCAGGCTGATCAGCGCTTGTTTACAGTGTTTCATCGTGTCGCTGGAGGTTAAGTATCTCTGTCTGTTACCTGGTAACCAAACACTCATCAGATAGCGAACACACACACACAAGGCCACATCTCACACACACTCACACACACACACGCACACACACACACAAGGCCACATCCCACACACACACAGAATCCAGTGCCTGCAGTCTGAAACTTTCTTCACAGACACGGATCACTTTCAGCACAAACACAAACTCACACCGAGAGATCCAATGACTTTCTGTCTCTTGACTAAATGCTGCAGCATTTTACCCAGCAGTGATATTTTAGTATTATTTATAGATATAAATGTCCTGTTTGTATTTATGAGCTCACAGAACGGGTTTGGAACTGAAAGACCGGCTTAAATGGGTCTGGACCGGACCAGAGTGGGTGGTTTCAGCAGAGTAACTCACCCCAAATAACCTTTCCACAAATGCACAAAGACAATCCAACAGAACGCAGCGAAATGACATGTGGAGGTTATGAAAAACCATAAAATACAGGGTCTGGGCCTGACATCAACTACAGGACGAAACGAGCGCTACGCGTGTTTCTAGAGCCCATGATTTCTCTCATGAGTCCCTCGAGCTCAGATCACATCAGACACAAAACTCCCCACAGCCAAAAACATCCTCTTCAATAAAACACAGACAGAAATATACAACGAGACAGAAAGAGAGCAGCGATTCCTGCTCCAGACCATAGTTTGCAGGCAAATCCTGCATCAGAGAATCACGAGCGAGAATAAAACACCTCGACTGGAAAATAATGATCCAAAAGGAGCCCCTGCACAGCTTTAATAATCACCAACTATAGGGCTTTAAATCATGCCTGCAGTGTGTGCACTTTGAAGGAGGAGGAATATCAAAGAGCTCCTGATTGTGTTTCAGAGGCCACAAAATGTGTTTTTATTTTATTTTATTTTATTTTGAAATGCATTACAATGTTTTGTGAAAACATTTGTTAGCTATAATATTATGTATTGTTATATTGGTGCATATATATTCATATACAAATTATTACAAATATAAGTCATTATAAAAAATTAAATATATTTTTTTAATTCATTGAAATGTTTGTAAAACATTTGTTAGCCAATATTACAGTGTATTGTTGTAATATTTTTAATATGGTAACATTTGCCATATTTATAAAATATAAATATAGGTTAATATAAAAAAGCGTTATAAGTTATATAAATTATTATAAATATAAGTTACTATAAAATAATATAGGTTTTTTTTTTTGTATTAAAATGTTTGGTAAAACATTTGTTAGCCGTATTACTGTGTATTGTTATACTGGTGCATTTAAAATATATATAAATAAAAATAAATATACATATGAATTATTATAAAAATATATTTATTTTAATGTATTAAAATGTTTAGGTAAAACATTTGTTAGTCAGTACTATTGTGTATTTTTGTATTGGTGCATTTAAAAATATAAATCATTATAAATATAACATTTAAAGATAAATATTTTTTAATGCATTAAAATGTTTTGTTAAAACTATGTATTTATATTGGTACATTACTAATATTACTATGTATTTATATTGCTGCATTTAAAAATATATATATATAGTTATTCTGAAATATATATTTCTTTTTATGTATTTAAACGTTTAGGTAAAAAAAATGTTAGCCAACCAATATTATTCATTGCTATATTGGTGCAGTTATTATTAGTTATTATTATAAGTTATTATTAAAAAATCATATAAGCTATTTTTTTTTAAATGTTTAGGTAAAACATTTGCTACCCAATATTACGATGTATTGTTATACTGGTGCCTTTAAAAAGATAAATTATTATAAACATAAATGATTGTAAAAATGATATAGTTTTTTATGTATTAAAATGTTTAGGTAAAACATTTGTTACCCAATATTACGATGTATTGTGCATTTAATGAATTAAATATAAATTATTAATATAAATAATAATTAATATAAACAATATAAATTACTATAAATGTTATTTTTAAAATAATATGTTAATTAACAAATAATAAAAATTATATTAAAAAAACTAATATAATATAAATCATTAACATTTTTCCAGTGCATGATGTTTTGGTAAAACATTTGTTAGCCGTATTACTGTGTATTGTTATACTGGTGCATTTAAAATATATATAAATAAAAATAAATATACATATGAATTATTATAAAAATATATTTATTTTAATGTATTAAAATGTTTAGGTAAAACATTTGTTAGTCAGTACTATTGTGTATTTTTGTATTGGTGCATTTAAAAATATAAATCATTATAAATATAACATTTAAAGATAAATATTTTTTAATGCATTAAAATGTTTTGTTAAAACTATGTATTTATATTGGTACATTACTAATATTACTATGTATTTATATTGCTGCATTTAAAAATATATATATATAGTTATTCTGAAATATATATTTCTTTTTATGTATTTAAACGTTTAGGTAAAAAAAATGTTAGCCAACCAATATTATTCATTGCTATATTGGTGCAGTTATTATTAGTTATTATTATAAGTTATTATTAAAAAATCATATAAGCTATTTTTTTTTAAATGTTTAGGTAAAACATTTGCTACCCAATATTACGATGTATTGTTATACTGGTGCCTTTAAAAAGATAAATTATTATAAACATAAATGATTGTAAAAATGATATAGTTTTTTATGTATTAAAATGTTTAGGTAAAACATTTGTTACCCAATATTACGATGTATTGTGCATTTAATGAATTTAATATAAATGATTAATATAAATAATATAATAATAATTAATATAAACAATATAAATTACTATAAATATGTTATTTTAAAAATAATATGTTAATGAACAAATAATAAAAATTATATTTAAAAAACTAATAAATGTTAGCCAACCAATATTATTCATTGCTATATTGGTGCAGTTATTATTAGTTATTATTATAAGTTATTATTAAAAAATCATATAAGCTATTTTTTTTTAAATGTTTAGGTAAAACATTTGCTACCCAATATTACGATGTATTGTTATACTGGTGCCTTTAAAAAGATAAATTATTATAAACATAAATGATTGTAAAAATGATATAGTTTTTTATGTATTAAAATGTTTAGGTAAAACATTTGTTACCCAATATTACGATGTATTGTGCATTTAATGAATTAAATATAAATTATTAATATAAATAATAATTAATATAAACAATATAAATTACTATAAATGTTATTTTTAAAATAATATGTTAATTAACAAATAATAAAAATTATATTAAAAAAACTAATATAATATAAATCATTAACATTTTTCCAGTGCATGTTATTCCAAATGAAAACAATATTTGTCTTTGTAAGATTTTATTTTATAAGATTAAATACATTTTATTGTACTTTCCATCCATTTATTAATATATATAAACATACTGTATGGCCGCTGCTCTGTTAGGACTAGCTGTCATTGTCCTCGCTGCGACGTCACATGAGACATAATTCAGACGTGTCAGCATTTCTGCTGCATCATGGGAAACAGAGCGGATGTGTCTCTAGAGGACGCCAGTGTGTCACACAAACACACACACACACACACACACGCACACACACACACACTCTCTCACACACACACACACACACACACCAGATCCCAGAGGAATTCATATCTGCATGTAATAATGAAAATCTGTCATTTAGAGCTGATTGACCGCTGTCAGTCATTTCCCATCATGCATCAGTCCTGCTGTTTCTCTGCCCTTCACGCATGTAGAGGCCCGTTTGAGGGTGAATTAGGAGTGACACGTGTGTGCTGTTGAAGGACAGCAGCGCTGAGCACAGCGGGATGGTGGGTCTGTGAAGGACTGAACTCAGGACTGAACTCAGGACTTTCAGATGGAAACACAGAAAGGAAACACTAGCTAACAGCTCTCTGATGAAAATGACATGAGCAATATAAATCAGACATATTAAATCACCATCCACATGATGACACATATTTGATAAACCGTTCCTTTTTATATATGATGATGAATACAAATAATATCAATAATATATATACACAAATTACATTTATAGGAAATACATATTTAGTTATTTATTATAAATTTATTTTTAAGAAATTATATGAATTCTATTTTATATAGCATTAAGGTTTTTTGCATTATTTTAATTCCATTAATAATAATAATAATAATAATATAGTGGAATTATATTAAATGTAATATATTATTCAATATTCTGATAATACAGTTTATATAATATCCATATAATAAAGTTTGATTTATTTTATGTTATTTATATTAGTTTTTTTAATATGATCATATTTCTGATCTTTTTGTTATTATTATTATTATTATTATTATTAATAATATAAATACATTCTGTAAGTATATTAAATATAAATATATTGTTTTCATTGTTTATACTGTGCTTTCTTTTGTTTTTGATTCCATATTCCTATAAAATATACATATTTTAAAATATTTTTTGTCCATGTGACGATGGAATTATTTTACTGTTTTTATTTCCATATTTATTTCGAAATGATATGATATGTGATATGATATCATATATCATATATCACATATCATATCATATCATATCATATAACCAATGGCAGACTTTAATATATATATATAATGATTATTATTATTATAAAAATATATATATACTTTTTGGAAAATCCATTTATGTTTACGGAAAGTACATTTCCTCACTTTACTCACCATTAGCAGATATGACCAAATGTTTGTTTTGAACTCTATCTGCGCTGACGTCAGTGTGATGAGATGATGATGAGATGTTACTAGGAAAGACAAAATAGTAGACAAGAAATGTATAAAAATAATAATAAACTTGAATGTTGGTTCTAAAACATGCGGGTCGAGTGAACAGTACAAATAAATCAGACATGAAGAAGTGTTTGATGAAGGAAGTGACTGTTCAGTTAACGGTCAGAGTTCTGTTGAATGTACACAAACACACACCTTCATGGAGGATTTCAGTTCGTTTGTGGCCCTCATCCTGTTTCTGTGTTGTTTAGAGCTCTGTTCCAGCGAACTGTTCACACACAAACACTGCACACGTCTGTCAGGAGAGACCCAGAACAAACAGCATGAAGGACGTTTATAGCTCATCAGAAATGAACAGGAACTCAGTCCAGCAGACGGTAACACCACAGAATTTTAATATATAGTCCACTCTTGTACTGTTTGATTAGCATATTCATATACTTTGACACCTCAAGATCAAGAATTTCATGACAAAAAAAAAACATGCTAGAGATAATATATTTTATATAAAATAAATACATAAAAAAAAACTTTAATTCTCTCTCTCTCTATATATGAAATTATAAAAAAAAACATTTTTACAAATTATTTTGCATAAAGTAAACAATTTAAAAGACTATTATTATTTATAGTATTATGACATAAATAATAATAAATTATTATTATTATTATTTTATTATAAATAAATATTATACATTTCTTATAAATACAGTATATAACATATCTAATTACATTCATAAATATACATATAATATATTTGTCATTGTGACAATATATATATAGAAATTAATAACATTCATAAGAAATTCTACAAATATTTATTCATGACTTTACTTTTTGTTATTATTAAAATATACATATTTTAAAATATTTTTTGTCCATGTGACGATGGAATTATTTTACTGTTTTTATTTCCATATTTATTTCGAAATGATATGATATGTGATATGATATCATATATCATATATCATATAACCAATGGCAGACTTTAAGCCAATTTTGGTAAGGTTTAAATAATTAAATAGGGCAACGCATGGCTGATTTTGCGTGCCAACAAAGTACACAAGTGTTTGATACAGACACACGGTGATGTGTGCCGTTATTAGAGCTGGTCAGGCTAATTAAAACTCAGTCCAGCGCTGGAGCGACAGCAGCAGAGACTCAGGACACACACACACACACACACACAGCATCTCTCATTTCTGCTCATCTATGAGTCTGGATCACAGATGGGAAAATGAAAGGTAAAACACTAATGTGACTTTCCTGCAATATACTCTGATATATATACACATGCATGTTCATGTTACACGATGAAACATGCCGAAAAGAGGAAAGTTATTCATATCTAAGTGTTTATCTATTTTGGATGATTGTATTTAATAGAGACTTCATGATATGTGTTGTTTTTATACATCTGTGCGAGTGTGTGTGTGTGTGTTGGACCTTCTCCTCCTGAAGTACCTGAATCCCCAATTGTAGATAAACATGTAAAATAAATCATAAAAAATATTATTACATATGTATGTTTTTGCATATTTTATTTTATAATTCATTATAATTATTATATATATATTTAAATTAAAAAATATACTATATAAGACTATATATATATATACATATGTATATTTTCTTAATTGTTTAATTTAATTCATTTATTTTTCAGGGATATAATTTTATATACATATATTAAAATATATTTCGGGAATTTTTTATTTCTATAATTCTGACTGAATTATTGTGCCACTTACAGCATCATATATGAGCCGAGTCCGTCTCTGGCTCTCAGTGAAACTGCACCTGTCACAAAAACATCAAGATGCATCAAGATTTTGGTCTTTACATTCTCATTTCAGCTCTGTCGCTCTGCATTCGTTCACACTGAAGCTGTCGCTTCAAGCACAGACACAAACGTCCTTCAGTTCAACAAACCCTCCGATTGATTCTCCGGTGTTTGTCGTGCATCATCTGAAAGACATCAGTTCAAACAGACCGGTTTCATGTCAAAATAAGCCAATTAAACTATTAAGTTATTGCTTTTCTAACGCAAAGTTTCAAGCTTTCTAAAGAGTGCAGGATGGGTCTCTCTTTAAAAGATTGTGTTGTAGGGGTTTGTCTGTATCAGTTTCACTGGATCTATACAGTGTCTGTGCTCAAGACAAAGACAAGAGTCTCTCCACATTTCGAATGAGAGCAGAACACAATTAGTAAGTTCATTTGCTCTCTATATGGAGGACACTCCATTTGTTCAGTCCTGACTTTACAGGTTTACATTACACACCCTACACTGACTGCTGAGACTCTACACCTGTGGGAACCAACACACACACGAATACACAGATAAATGCACATGTAGTGGCTAGAGGTGAATGTATCATTGAATCACTGACTGAAATGATTAATTCAAAAACAGATTCATTCAGGAGCGAAACAAGGCAGTGTTGCTCTGAGACACACAAATGTTCTGCTCCGGCTTTGATTGAAACTATTTTCAATGGCCAAACAGAAAAAACAGACACTATTGTCTCTAATATGAAACTCACTCAATATTAACTTTTTAACTTTTGTTGTTGTCTAGAGTCAATACAACATTTGTGATTGAGCTCATGCTAATGGCTGCTAGGTGGTTGCTAAGGTGTTCTGTGGGTTGCTAGGTGGTGTCTTGGTGTTTTCTTACTGGTCCGAGTCCAAACAGATATTCTATGATATCAAGATCTCCAGATATGACTCATGTTTTTATGCACTCTTGAGTGGTTGCTATGGTGTCCCGAGTGGTTGTTTGGGAGTTGCTATGTGGTTGCTAGGGTGTTCTGGGTGGTTGCTAGGTGTTTTCTTACCAAGTCAAAAAAGATATTCATTGATATCTAGATATGACTCACATTGATATACTCTTCTGAGTGGTTGTTAGGGTGTTGTTAGTTGGTTGCTAAGGTGTTCTGTGTGGTTGCTAGGTGTTTTCTTACCAAGTCAAAACAGATGTTCAATGCTATCTAGATCTCTATATATGGCTCATGTTGCTAGGTACTCCTGAGTGGTTGCTAGGGTGTTGCTAGGTGGTTGTTAAGGTGTTCTGTGTGGTTGCTAGGTGTTTTCTTACCAAGTCAAAACAGATATTCGATTATATCTAGATCTCTAGACATGGCTCATGTTGCTAGATACTCCTGAGTGGTTGCTAGGTGAGTTGTTATGCACTCTTGAGTGGTTGCTATGGTGTCCCCAGTGGTTGTTTGGGAGTTGCTATGTGGTTGCTAGGGTGTTCTGGGTGGTTGCTAGGTGTTTTCTTACCAAGTCAAAACAGATATTCAATCTAGATCTCTAGATATGGCTCATGTTGCTATGCACTCCTGAGTGGTTGATATGGTGTCCTGAATGGTTGTTAGTGTGTTGCTAGGGTGTTTTTTGTGGTTGCTAGATAGTCACTCACTGGTTTAAGTTAAAAGAGCCTCACCAACAAGATATTTTAGACCCCAGATGCAACAGCCACACAAACATCTCTAATAATTGAATAAAATTGAATAAAAACCATTGAAAAAATAGAAGATATGAAGTGTGAATCACCCGTAAAACAATGAAAAGAGACTGACATAAGAAACAACAGGACAGGGGAACAAAGAAAGAAAGAAACTAACAGACAGATTGAGACAGGCGCAGCTAGTAACACTGTTGGCACCGCGAGCAGCGCCGGCTCTCAGCCGCCAGGAAATGATGTAGCAGCTTCGCACCGTTCACTGTGGGTTACCATGGCAACACATGCATGGATGCGCGGGATGAGAGAAAACTCTGGAAGAGACGAGACAGCGGATAAGCAGAAGAAAACAGTGTGCTCCGTCAGAGCATAAATGATTTAAGAGCTCAGGACCGCCGCTCCACTTTCACTGACCTTCTTCTGTCACACCTACATTAATTTTTAAGATCCATCTCTGATCTTCTTTTCCAGTCTACAGATGAGATAAAGTAGGTTTCAATCATAAAAACACACAGTGCATTGTCGCAAAATCATGCCACAATTATTGAACTGTCCAGAACACTTTCAGATCATATTTCAACCCAAAAACTAAAGGAATAAATAAGAATCTATATTGTGCATAAAGAAAATTAAGTCTGTTTTTAAAATATTAAATGATGTCAATAATTGTAATTACGTATGTGTAAATCACTTTTATATCAATTATTTATATAATATTAAAACTTTCTTTAATTTGTTCTGATCAAAAAGTAAAAAATCTAAAACAAATTACTGTACTGCAACTAATTTTACTTAAAATATATGTAAATCATTTTATTTAAATTGTTTATACAATATTAAAACATTTTTATTTAATTTATGCTGACTGAAATGTAAAAAAAATAAAAAAAATAAAAATGTAATGCAATTATAGGAATAATTTAAAATGAAACTACTCATTTTAGAGTAATGCAAAAGAAAGTTTATTATTAAAATTGTAAACAGTTTATTTGTAAACATTTTTAAATATATGTAAATCTGTATAAATCATTTTTGTCAATTATTTATATAATATTAAAACTTTAAAAAATTTATGCTGATTGAAATGCAAAAAAATCTAAATAATAGAAAAAGTGAAATGTAAAATAAATGCTATTTATTTAATAAATATATTTATTTGTAATTATATACTGTATTTATT